CTCACTCACCAAACTCTTCCTTTTCCCTTAAAGCTCAGCCGTCGATGGAAGAAGTGGTACCAAAGTGGCCATTAAGAAATTGTACCGCCCGTTTCAGTCTGAACTCTTTGCCAAACGAGCCTACCGAGAGCTGCGCCTTCTGAAACACATGAAGCATGAAAATGTGAGTGGGTTGGGTCGTTAGCAGATATCCCCGCCAAGGCTGCAGCTTACGCACCCTAAAAACAAAGAAAATATGCAGATTTGGACAAGGCAGATGTGTGGCTGAATGGAATTCAGGAATCTTTCAGCCTGTCTTTTTTCTTTCTGTCCTTTATCTACAGACGTCAGTTAGCACAAACTAGAATATCCTGTGGGAAACACCATTTCCATGTAGGAAAGGTTGGGTGGGGAAGGTTAGGACCAGAGTGGAATTTGCGCTCAGAGCTAGTGAGAGAGATTAAGGACCAGAAATTAGTCTCCATTGCTATGTTCCTGTGAGGTGCAGGAGAATGCAGAGCATGGATCTGTGCCTGTGTGTCTCGGCTGCCAGCATCTCTGTTTTTCTGAACTTACATGAAGATGGCTATGGTATATGTGCATGTCTTTGGGGAGGGGGTAGGGTTTTCCTTTTTTGTTTGTTTTTTAACCTTTCATGAAGCATTTGAAAGTTTTGGGTTTGTACTAATGTGAAACAGGAAAAGTTTGTGAATGACTAAATAAATTGCTTTACTGGGAAGCAGAGAATAGGATACAGAGCTCAGTGCAGATTCCCACATTGTGTGACAGAAGAACAGCCGTAGAAAGAAGTGTTGAAAGTGTCATTGAGATAAAGACTCTTGGTCCCAACAGTGCTTAATGGTTTAAGAATAAAATAAAGGGGGAGAGATTTGTGTGAAAACAGTTATTGTGGAATCAAAGCACAGACTCCAGGTGAGAAGGGTCCCAGGGTGGGCTTGGAGCATCACAGTAGTGGTTTTAAATGCTGTTCATCGTGAATGCATGTGGAAAAGGAAAAAAAAAAGAGAGTTTGGAGGGAGTTGTTAATATGATGCATAAACATCTGGTTTAAAATGTTACTAATGTAAGAGATTAGAGCATAGCTCCGTTCAGATGTCCTTCAAGGAAAGCTAAGAGATCAAAAGCGAGGATAAGAGAAACTGTTAATAACAATAGCCAGTCATTGCCATTTCACGTTTTAGTATCAACATTGTGAGTACCAACAATATCCAGGTTCATTGTGAAGAATAATCTGTGGGATATCCTGACTGTCCAGGAAAAAAAGGAGCTTTTTGTAGGCTTAACATTTTAGTCTGAATCTTTTAATACCTTTGATCATTTTACTTGGTGATTCCTCTGAAGTAACTGCTTCATAACCACTACTGTATATGTTAAAGAGTTAATGTTTGCAGGGAACTTCTGTGTCATGCATGGGCTTTCATACTCTCAGCATTTTCTTTACTGAACATTTGGGAGCAGAGCACCTTGTGCAGTTGCCAAGCTCCTAACTGTGTCCAGAATTTTGAGATTATTTTTCTTCCGTTTCCCAGAATAATCTGTTGGGCAGCATTTTCCACTCCTGGCGGGTTTTATGCGGTGTATGCCCTTCAGGATAATACTCTGGAACTGTTTTGATAATTAAAGAGTCTAGAAGAAAATGCTCACTGAAGAACGTGAGCACAATCTGTAAAAGTTACAAACCAATATATATGAATGAAGGGAATAATTTACAGTCTTAGGAAACAGTTTGGGTCACAGAAAGAAGAGTGTGGTCTATGTAGCAAATAAAAGTTTTACCATGAATTATGGCATGTACTCATTAGAGAACAAAGACTGAATAAGTGATCCTGCAGGGATTTGTGGGCACTGTGGGGACAGAAGGTGACTACTCCACTTGTCCGCAATGAGGCTGAGATGGCAGTACAGCTCATCAAGAGAATTTCTATCCACCATCCCAGCCTCACACCCTTCTGTCAGTCATTTCACCCATGGTGAATTAGGAGTAGCAACAGCACCTTTTAGGATTTCTAGTCCCTGTGCTGGTCTCAGGATACTCTTTTAGCCGCTCCTCCCATCCCAAATTAAATCAGAGTGGCAGTATCACTCCTCATCAGGATTTTCAGCCCCTCCTTTGACCCAGCACCGTTGTGTCAAAGAGCCTTTTTTTTGCGTATTTCCACCACAGGATGGCTTTACAGGCAGACAGTAAGGTCCTTTCCTATTCACATCGGCAGTCCCCAGCGTGCTGTGCACACCTTTAATGATTTGTACATTAGTGGCAGGAGATCTGCCTGTCCTCTGTCATTACCATTGTGGCTTCTGTGGGTCTGGCTATGGAGTTTTGAACAGGCCCCAGTCAACGTGGGTGCATATCTCCTCATAGCAGGAATTAGTAGAATAGAACAGTGATTTAAGTATCTTTCTTGATTTTTCTGTTAATTAATACATTATAGTATACTTGTATAAAATAGCAGTTACCTATCTTTCTGGCTGTACTATAAATACAACTGCTATTAAAAATTAATAAAACTGAAGTAATTGTTTCAAAGACCACAATAAAATAGCGATGCCATTGTTAACTCTGTCTTGGGTGTTGGTAATCTGAGTATGTAGAGGAGCTGGTGTGTGACAGGCAGTCTAATGGTACTGCCACTGTGGATTAGACTTCGGATATTGTTGCAACGTTGCACTAATCTGCCAGTACAAATCTTCACCTTGCTTTTTTCCTACTTCAGGATATAAACTATTTCAAGGTTCTGTTTATCTGATAGTTAAAATTACATCCAATTCGCTCTTCTGATCTGTTTTTCTTTTAAAATTACTTCTGTAATAGCGATGCATTTGATGTTGGATTTCATGAAAAGTGTGATGTTTGTTTCCCTGTGACTACCTCTCGATGGACCATCTCTGCCCTTCATAGCTTTCAGGGAAGTGTTGCATTAAGCATGTAGCAATACATTATCATAGTTTATTTAACCTTATGCTGTATTCAGAATGATGGAAGAAATTGTAATGGTCTGACACATCATGTTAAAAATAGCATCTCTGATCTTCCATTAAGGTGGCAGAAGATACCATTAAACCTGTGCCACAGAGATATAATTCATCAGCATGTCATGCTTCAGTGAAGAAAATGGAGGAAAACTCCTTAATACCCTGGATGACCTCCATTATAGACCCTTTGAGGAATATGTTCATCTGCTTAATGTGGAAGGGTTGTACGATGACCAGGAGTCCTGTAAAACCAAATATAGGAGTCATCCAACTGTATTTTACTGGAATTGTATTTTACTCTGTAAGGAAGCTAGCTCAGGGGTCAGTTTGCTTGTCTATTTAGGTGTTTTCAAGAAGAGGCGACTCTGGTTGCTAGGCTGACCATCTTTCATTATATATGCTAGACCTTTATGCTCTCTCATGGCTGTCAAGCAAGACATTACTTAAATGTAGTGAGGAATATTTCTATATAAACAGTGCAAACTTGGTAGCATGGGACTTCTCATCAACCCTTTGCAAACAAATGCTGAGGAGGAATAGTGTTGAGGACCATGGGGCAGAGGCTATGTGTGAGGAGGGCAAGACCTGGCTGCTAGGAGATAAAATTCTGTCTTTAATGGCACTGGCATCCATTCTTTTTTGGTAGGCCTTATAATTTGAGAGGATCTGCGATGTTTCACAAACATCATGAGCTACTTCTGCTGCCTCAGAAGCAGTCTAACCCAGATCAATTCCTCAGACATTGCCAAAAAGAAAAGTTAGTTTCCAGCAGGATAAGCTGCAGGATCGCTGTGTAGCTGCATAAACACATATTCTGGCACATGAGGGGGAATGGTGTGAAAACGAGGAATAAAAACAGCTAAGGCACAATGAAGAAAGCACTGTTTTGGATTGTTTTTTTCTTCATTTATTCATGCTAGCTTGAAGTATTCATCACACTACAACCTTAGCAGCTCTTGATTATTTCTTTGGCATCTGCTGCACCTTGTATAGAACAACAGAACAAACCTTTACAAAGTTTTTTTTTCAGTAGTGCTGCTTTTGTTCCCTGTTTCTTTCCATTTTGTGCTCAGTTAAAGTGAGGACCCTTAAAACTATCAATTTTAGCTCTGACTTAAAGCCAGAAACTGAAAATATGGCCAGCATGCTAACTTTAGCCCTGGCTTTGGCTCTCAAATGTTTGCATTTGTGCGCTCTTCTGAAGTTAATGGAGATGTCTGTGTATGCAATGCTAAATGCAGACAAGTAAGCAGAGGTGCAGAACCAGTAGTTTCATTTGGTAAATAGCTCGGATTTTATTATGCATCTGGACAGGAAGTGATACCGTGATACCTACTTTTGTTGAAACAACTGCATAGTGACTCGTACCGGTCCAGTCTTGGTGCCCTTCTCACATCCCAGTTTGCTAACAGAAGTCTTGGAGTTGCCAGCAGGAGCGCAGGGGAGATGGCGAGGGGAGATGGCACCGGAGAGAGGGAGAGAAAAGCAGCGGCTTGTGCCAATGTCTTGTGTCAGAAGAGAACGTGGATTTTATAAAAGTGCGATATACGCATATGTGTGTGTATATATGGATATACCTATCTGTACGCAGAGTAATTCTGACCCAGTTCTACCAACTTCAATTCCAAATGTATTTCTGGCACAAAATTTTTGACAAATGCCTGTTAAATGATTCTTGGGTTGGTTAATATTCTACAGATGTTTTCTCTTCCTGGATACCCTGTATGTAAGAGGCAACTGCAGTATTTGTTTAAAGGTACTCTATATTATGTTCTCATTCATTGCTCTGAGTGGAAATTATTCTCTGGTGTATTCCCACATCTGAAGACCAGTGTGTGTTTTGCATTATGAGAACCATGCAACTTTTTTTCCCCTTTTGGAAGGAACTCGGGTGTCCAACAGACACCAAATTGTCTGTCTTTCTAGTTACATTTCTGAGGATGATGCAGGTCTTCACTTTTAGGTTGGCTAATGTTTAATTCTGTTGACTTCTTTATTTTCAAAAAATGTTGGGCTTTTTATTTACACCTATTCAGTATCAACGAAAGGTGGAGTTTGTTCAAAAAAAAAGAAAAAAAGTGGGACACTCTATGTTCCTGTCTGAAAAAATCTTAAAACTGTCAGCTTTTGCAGTTCATCTAGCATGATGTGAGCATTGGAAGAGCAACAGCCTCTGTAGTGTACAAAATCAGACCAAGAAGGGAGCTGTAGATGAGTGATGCTTTTACAGATGAAAGCATGCTCACTATGTTAGAAGAGGTTTCCTGCAGCAAGTCCTGCAGGACTGGTGCTGAAAATTCACGTCCTTTGGGTACACAAGTGCCAGTAAAGTGCAATTCAGGAATCTTGGCTGGTGATGGCAAATCTCCTTATGGGTCCTTATGAAAGCAAAAATACAGTTATAACTGAGTAGTTTATTGCTGTCTAAAGGCTGTTATTTTGGTACTCAAAGGCCAATAAATTAACATAGTGGTATTGGTTGTCACCTCTGCTTATTTTCACAAGCCTGCCTAATAGGTGTTTTACCTAGGCTGGGCTTCAGCTGATAGTCATTTGTTCACACCCTAGCCTTGGGCACTAATAAAGCAAACGGATTAGCCTAGTCCAGTAAATGAAAGTAAGGAAGGCAGCACTGAAACCCAAACCTCTTCTTTGGATTGCCAGCCAATCCAGAGATGAAGATGTGTCTGTCTGCAGGATTTGGATCTGTCCTGTGTTACATATGGGTCCTTTGAAAGCAGAGTGTGGTGACGCTCATGGGTGCGGCTCGTGCCGGCTGGTGTGCTGACTGGCAGGAGAAAAGGAAAGGGGTCTCTGTCCATCAGCAGGCATCCCTCGTGTCATGTAGCAATAATCAATGAGGAAGAAAGGTGACTGTGGTGCAAGCCTTGTGCGTGGATACTTAAAATTTTAAGAAGATTGAGACTTCTTAGTGTGGTAAAAGGATGCAGGTGCCCTATGATGTGGAACAGCAAAGGAACATGGACTTGAAGCTAACCCTGCAGAAAATTTAATGCAGCATAATATGTAGTTCAGTGCACCCCAGCAGGGATCTCTCTTAAAAAATGTACTTGCTCAAGTGCCAAAGCCATTCAGCTTTACTGTGTTTTCATGCATAACATCTGCAAGAGAAAGCAGCACTTAACGTATAAGAGACATAACCTACATTACTTATTAATTTATACGAGATCTGAGTCTTTTGTTGATGTGCTGCTGCTTACATCAGAAACTTTCCTTTACAGAGATGCAGTGGAATGGTCCTTGAATAAAAGTAATCCGATATATGAAAGTGCGGGGGAGGATAGAAATGAGGAGCTCCTCGCTGTTGTGCTCCACTGCTGGAATAACCTTTGGAAAAGGGGGCAGCAGAGAAAGGAAGGGCAGAAACCACCTTACCAGCACAAAGCTGTTACTTATTTGTTGGTGGTAGTTAAAGCTGTTCAGAGTGGGCAGTATAAATGCCATGGTGGGAGGACAGACGATAGGGATCAGAAAGGCTGGAGATACTGCCACCCACCCCCACTGGCTTCATAGGGAAGAGACACAGTCAGCAAAGTAAATATATTGAGTAAAGGCAGACCTGTGGAAAACAAGTTAGACCAGTAGACAGGTAGTTTTACTATTACTGTGGTTTTGCTTTGCAGGAAGATGGGAGAGACACAGTATCACGCTCTCTCCTCCAGATACAAGCAAGGAAGGTACTTCAGTGGAGGCTGCAGAAATCCTGGTTGGTTTTCAGTCAGATGGGGTGGTAGGAAACAAGGTGCATCCTTTGTGGGCTAATTTATTTGAGAAATTGCCTTTTGGCAGACTTAATGGGGAAAAAATGAGACCCTGAAAGGGCAGTGGTGCTGCTGGTTTCCACAGATGCTCTTCATGGCCATTGCAGAGTGTACTGCGTTTGTTCCTCGGCTATGCTTCCATCTTTGATAGTATCAGTAAGTGTGCTGGATTAACACCGAAGATAGATCTACAGAAGGTTTATCAGATACCTCTGTTACATTCCATATAGGCCACACTATGAAAAACAAATGATTCTTGTAATTGTTTTACGGGGGTTTACTTTTGTGCTGGGATATTATCTTTAAGTATTGTAAAGTGGTTTTTTTTTACAAATACTGTATTTAGTTGAGAGCATTTTAGACGGGCACAGGATTTTCCGTGATATTATGGAGGAGGGAGTTTCCTGCACTTTGTTCAGTTCTTTTCATTTTCCTGAAGAAGTAGCTGGAATTGTATCTTCCTCAGAGGATTTGTTTTATCCTGTACCTCCTTGTGCTTAACATATCTGCAGCAAGCTGTGACCTAAATGGAAATACTAATGACTCTGTTTCAGTATAGGAAAATCATCTCAAAGCACAGCTATTAAAGAAAGATCACTGAGGAAAAGGAAATGAGTCCCTCACTTTTATTTTTAAATTGATTAACTATTAGCATGTCTTGCCGCTTCAAACACTAAAATCGATTTCAAGATTTTTAGAAAGCTGAAGTAAGAAGAAGAAAAGAAGTATTGTGAAGTCTTTGGCATGTTAGAAACGTTTTCTGGTTTATTATTTAAAATTCCCTTCAGTGGGAGATGAGCGTTGGTCTTGGTGATACTCTTCCCTGCAAAGGATTTGCAGCAACAATAAGCTTGTTTCCATCAGTTTGCAACCTTACCTCAGAAGTAATGTATATTGTGTCTCAGGCAGCATTAAGTAACTACTGGGAAGTCTGTTTACTTGAATGGAGAAGTAGTAAAAAGTTAGTGAACTTCATTAAGTGTGTTTTTGGGCTGCTATGTTCTTTATGGAAACGTGTTCTTCATGCTCCCGTGTTTCAGAGTGGGTGCCTGATAGCACCTTGGTGCGCAGATGGATGTGGTACGGCAACCAGACTATTTCATCCTCTGCTGTGTCCTTTCTCGTTATGGTGGTGTCCCTGCGTCTTTCACTGCTACAGTCAGACGTGATGGGCTTCACTTTCTTACGTTTCTTGCTTAGGTAAATGAAGGCATGGAAATATCTCCTTGAGGAGAACAAGCAGGACTTCTGAAAAAAATGGGGCTTAATAGAGGTAGAAGTGCATATTGGATAAGATTACTATTAAAATATTAACGTCCTTCTTTTTAATACTGAAATCTTTGGAGAGCACACAACTTTTCTGGCTGTGTATGCTCTGTGTGTGCATATACACGCTGCCTTAGGAAATGCCCATAGAGCTGCATTATGTGCCGTTGTCACAAACATCTTCCAAATTCCTCTCTCCTCCCTTTCTCTCCCTGCCTCCACATAGAAATGGAAAACCTTATGTAAAACTGTCATGCAAAAAAATAATAAAAAAAAAATCTTGCTGTAATGTTAGCACTGAAGGTATTACTTCAAATAATAACCACATGCTCTGTGGGTTTAATTATTATTTTGTGGTAGTTATATTATTCTTATTTAATTAGTTTAATATAACAGTCCTTGGGAAAATGTTATTAGTGATTTTTTTCAAAGATATATGTGGCTACAAAGAAAAAAAGTTGTCATTTTCTGTCTTCATCTTTATTAGTTTTTCTATCTTGTTCATCATTAAGACATTTTGATAATATCCAGGCTAACTGTAGTAGTTCCCTCTGAATGTGGAAAAGATAACAATGCGTGCAGTAAGGATTTCATCACAGTTGGAGATTTTTATTTAAAGCTCTAAATAAAGGAAGTTGCCTTTCCTTTCCTGCAATTTTTTCCCTGCATTTCTGCTCTCACTTCTCTTTACTTTCACATACTCTTTTGAAAGAACTCTGTTTTGTCAAGCAATTAAGAGATAGTAGTAATGTCCAAAATCTATCTTGCTTGTTATCAAAAGGGATTTTTCAGTCCTCCTTTTAGTGTTTTGATGATAACATCAGGCAATGTAATATGCCATTACCCCTGCTTTCTTTCTTGCAGTTTCTAATTTTATACAGCTTTAGTTTGATGTACATGTCTTTAAATTGTATGGCTGTGGAGATAGGTCTGAACAAGGTTGTAAAAGTTATTAGTCTTTTAGCTTGCTTTCCAGCAAACCCCTGCACGCCCCTATCGACATGGCAGCCTGCACCTGGGAAATGCCACGAGCAGTCCAGGGTTTTGAAGGCTTCCTCTGAGCAGACAGAAATAGTCATGAATTAATAGTAGAAGTAGAAAAGAAGCGACTCTAAAAGCCTGTGCTATTTAGGCACTGCCTGGATGAAGCTGCATCCAAGCTGAGATCTGGCTTTAGGCAATTCCAGCTACATCTTTGGGAGTATCGACTTCTGTGTATTTAATTTTCTGGTGTTTAATGGGCTTGAGAGAAGCATTGGCATTTACCCTAATGCACCTAGTCAGTTGGTATAGTTCTGCTGAAAACCATACTAGTAGGAAAAACTGTGGTGGGAAATCAGTTTTACTAGATTGATATTTCTCTATTGAGTGCTAGAATGCTTTTGTTTGACAAAAAATACTCTTAAGGAGAACCAAAGGTATAAGCCATAGTAAATCATATTAAGCTCTTGATAATTACTCTTTATAAAACCAGTATAGTTCTGGTTTCTTCTCCATACTCCCAATTAGATACTGTAGTCTATGTACCTAAATTACCCTGTTACTGAAATTAGAAGATATTTAAAATGTTCTTCGTTGTCAAGCAGCAGGCCCAGCTAGGTGAATAGCACTTACAGCTGCTTCAGGTTATAAACCGATTTGTCTGGTTTATTTTTGACACTTCAGTGGTTCAAGTTAAAAGATGGTCTCTCCTCTTACATAAAACTGTTAGCCTCTGAACTTTTTGTTCTTCAAGTACATTTTTCTATTTTTTATCACAGGGTCAAACAGCCCTCAGAGTTATAAAATCCAACACATAACAAACCCTGGTGTTGCTAGGTGCTACTTTAGGTATTCTTTCTGCCATCTCTATGCCTGTAGCTAATGTCTCACTATGGAAATGTTTTTGATTATATTTTTTCACTTACTATGCAGTTTGGGATTTTTTGTGTTAATCCATTTGTATTAATCCATGTTGTTTTTTTCTCTTCTCCCTCCCTTATTTTTAGGTCATTGGAATACTGGATGTATTCACACCAGATGTAACACTGGAGAAGTTTAATGACTTGTAAGTTCTGAGTTGTTTGTGTTTGGAAGCAGGGCATTATTGCCCTGGAGGAACGGTTGTTGCTTTTTTAAATGGAGAATTCCAAAATTGTTGCTTAATGGATTTTTTTCTGAATTTCATCTTAATATAACTCTTATATGCAACTTCAGAATTGATAGGCTGAGGTTTTCAGATTGTCGTTAGAATCAGTTACCTATCTTACAAGGTATGTACTTCTTTCAAGCCTTAGTAAATGGCAGTTTGGTGGATTCCTTACTCCACCTTTCCAGTACTGATTGCTTACCCTAAGGCCCAGGCTGCCCAAATGACAGGAGAATTCTTCACCCAAACAAGTAGGCTGAAAATGATGCCTCCTACACAACACATCTCTGGTGTCATCCGTCCTAATTCAGGGATTAATTCAAAACTGCTGATGCTGCTGAATTTTTTAGTGGTTATCTGCACTGTGGTTTGTTATTTTCCCTGACTGGTTTCCCAGTCCAGTGGTCCAAACAACACATGCTATAGATCGTGTCTAGCACCAAGCATGTACATCTCCCTGGCCTTTTGGCAGCATCTCAGACACAAGATATTTAGGATGTCTGTTGTTCTGGTTGTCAGTCCTGCTGCAGTTCTTGTGAGTTAGAGTGGTCAGCAGTCTTGGTGGGCTTAATGTAGATTTCATGTCATATTTGTAGAACCGTTCTGGATTTCATCTAATGTAACTATGTTTCAAAACCAAACTTGCATATTTATATGTTAACAAAGAAAGCTATCTGACAGGAAAATGTAGAAAATGAAGTACAGAAAACATGGACCGTATGTTCATATTGATCATTTGGGCCAAAACGATCATTGAGCCAAAAAGGATGTTGTCCATATTGCTTATTGTGCACATGTATATGATTAGCTTTCAAGCGCTGTGTTTTAAATGGGACCCTAAAATCTTCCTTCAAGTTTTGGAGGTGCAAGTCAAGTAGGAGGGACATTTTTATAATTGAAACTGCAACAGATGAACATATGGCAAAATTTACTTTCAAGACTTTGTGGAAGCTGTTAGAAATGAGCAGAGGTAGATGTGTGTACATTTAAAACAAAAGTGGTGAAACTGCTTTTGTGAATTAAAAGTCAAATGGGTCATTTGAGGTAGACTTTCTTTTTTGTGGACTAGTCATGAGACATTGCCTGTGTCCTATTGTATAAAGATCAAATTTGAGTGGATTTGTGGGTAAAAGCAGCAGAAGCAAAGCGGGTGGTTTCACCAGAGCCAGTCCCTAAAGTTGGTATTAGCTAAGAAACCCAAGGTCTCAGACAACTTCTAGCCCTAGCATGCTCCTGTTCTACCTGCCACTCTGCTCTCCTGCTCCTCTGCTCTACCAGTCAATGTAACAACAGTTGAAGACGACATCTCATTTCCTTTATGAAGGAATATTCAACATCCTTTCCCTGCTCATGCTTGCCTTGAACTTCCTTCAGTTTTAGAAGTTCAGCTGATTGGTGTACAAAATCAGAAATGCATAGATCTTTACCATTCTACCAGCTGCTTTTTACCCCCTTCATCTCTATTCCTTGCATTGTCTGTGCTTGTATCATAGACAGTGTGCCAGAACGGGTTGCTGCTCCTCATTTTGTAAGAATTTGGGGTTTTAACTGGAACTTGCAAAGATGCTTAATGCTTAAATGTGTTAGGCATCAAGTTCCTGTTGAAGTGAATTATTAATCAGGTGCCTAACCTTCTCAGCTTATTTGATGATTCCAGCTGTGAATCATAAATATGTTTTTAGTAATAGAAATAAGTTTGCAAAATTTTAAGTAGTAGGCGAAGTGTTAAAAGTGAGCCCGTAGTGTTTGATCCCATTGTTGTCCTGTTCCATTGTGTTGCTCGTAAATTGCTACTAAAGTTTGGATTTTCAAACCCAGATAGGAGTGAGTTTTCCCTTTCTTACATTTTGTTTGTTTCTCCACCCACCTAGTCCTCTCTATTTGACCGTAAGAGATTTGAATTCGCTGATTTGTAAACATAGCACATGTGACTAAAGGTTTTTTATGGCTCATTCCAAATATTAATGACCTCTGGGAAAATGTATTTAATAAGTCTGAGTGGCAGGAGAACTTAATATGCTTTCTGGAACATCAACAAAGAAGTTAAACTCCAGTTTCTAAGTCATTTGGACTCTTGATGGGAAACAATTTGTGTGTTATTCTGGGGCAGAGATAAGAAATGTCATTCTCTTCTCCATATTTGCTCTGTCCTCACATAGTTACAGAATTAAATTGCTCATCTGTTGTATCCAAAGGATAGCAAATTTGTCTGTGAATGCTGGGAATGGGATCTTGAGTCCTGATGCCCAAAGTTGTGGGGAAAAATGTTTGGTACCAAAGAAATGTTGAAAATATTACCTATAACTCCTAGTTACTAAATCAGTGTCCCATCTCTCTTACGACTTCATACTCAATTTCTATTTTGTTTATAGTTATAATTCTAATAGAATAAATGAAGTCTTCATACAGATTTAACAGTAGAAATCAGCAGAATTATAATTTGCGTGTTTTAACCAGAGTAAACCCACTTAAGTCTAAACAATAAAATTTGTAGCTACAAAATAATGATCACATCTAATTCTTCCCTTCATGAAAATGCATCTGCTCATCTTCATAAGAAGAGGAAAACTGATTACTTTATCCTCAGGTGCCAGACGTGACTGGCTCTATCTATTTCCAGACCTGACTCTAGGGATAGACTCTGAAGGATGAGTTTACTACCAGTTTTAGATCTTAAAGGAAGATTAGCCCTGAACTGCCAGCTTGGCATTCTCAAGCTTTGTGTTACTGGTGTCCCATACCAGTAACACTATTTCTGTTACTTCTCACCTTGCCTATTTGAATGAACCATCTAGGCGGTTTGGTTGATGCTAATTCAACGCTATGATCGTGATTGTGAGATACGTAGCATAGAATTGTGTGGATGTCTTTGTTTTCTGTGTAGGTGTCTTTGAAGTATCACATGGCTCTTGGTTAGGTTCTTTCTAACTAGTTCAGAATCTGCACTCTTCTGTTAACTAGCAACTTTCCGTAATCAGTGACAGAGTTGGGCAATACCTCTTTATGACAATCAAAATAGATAAAACCAGAGAAACTTGGAGGGCAGGGGGATGATGATGGAATTGTTTGGTAGATGGAATGATCTGTAATTTAATATTGTCACTGAACTATAACATACAATTATATTTCAATTTATTTGACAAATTAAAATTATTTTGTTCTTTTTTCTGTCTTTTTTTTTTTTTTTTAAGCTACCTTGTCATGCCATTTATGGGAACAGACTTGAGTAAAATAATGAAGCATGAGAAACTAACTGAAGACCGAATCCAGTTCCTGGTATATCAGATGTTGAAAGGCTTAAAGGTTTGCCACTTTTAATATTATTTTGATTTCACAATCTTTTTTCCTAGTAAACCATTATGGAGAGCTATAAATACTTGTCATTGGATAGCAGGCTAAAATTTATCTCGCCTTGTATAATAAAAGTAATGACATTCTGCATAGCAGTTGGTTTGCAATGATAAATGTTATCTGGGTTTTTTTGTGTGACGATTTTATCTGTGGCTTTTTTCAAGCAAAAAGAAAAGGTAGTCATTCAAGATCTATATAGTACATTGATCCAGGATGACCTTGGTTTCCTTATTCCTGTGATTTTTAGTTGCTTTCTTCCCTAGTAGCTGATTGTGGTGCTGCTTTGCCACACCTCTGGCTAGCTGCAGAATGCAGAGACTGAGAGTGAAATTACTGGTGAGTTCGGAGGTGGGACTCCCCTTGACTTGAGCCCTCAGCTATGTCATCAGCTTCAAATTTCTCTAATTTGAAAATTTTTCCATGGCTTAACAATACTGCTCTGATACACTGTTGCTAAGGCACTCTGCACCCAACCTGCTCTAAATGTAGTGTTGTTCCGTGCTCTGCTGAAGAGCATATGTGTGTGTGTGCGCGCGTTATATACATATATATCTGGTATTGGGGGTGTGTGTGTGTATATTTATACCGTACCTGTATATATGATACATGTATAGGTATGCTATATATAGATATGGTACGCTATATAGATATGGTATATATGTGCCATACATATCTATCAACCTATAGGTATGGTATTTTGGGGTGAAAGTCTGACCCTGAGAGCGACTCTGAGCCCTGTTGACTCCTAGTGCTCACACTGGTTTTGGGAAATGTTCAAGGACCACAGCAAGTGCTAGTTTGGTCTCTGTGTGTTAGAAATCCAGTTCTGCAAAGTACTAAAGCTCATTCATTGCTAAATTTAAATAGGTAAGTCCTTGAGGTTATTACTATATTGACATACCTTTCTGACCCAGATGTCTGAATATTTTCTGTGAAATTGAAAAGTATGTGTCGTTTGCATAACACACATGTAAAGTTGAAGAGTCTCTGAGGTCTTCAGGTCTGGGACAGCTTTGATAAAGAGGAAGGACTGTGGATTTTTAGTGACAAATCTGAGTTGAAGGTGGCTGAGAGGAGCACAGGTAAATCACTTACAAGCCCAAACTAATAGGCACCTGAGTTAAACAGCTGTGAAAGATGTCAGAAGGGAGTCCACTGAATAACTTCTCAATGCCTTTTAACAGACCCATTGAGATTGGAAGGGACCTCTGGAGACTGTATATTCCAACCCCTCTGCACAAAGCAGGGTCAAACTGAGCAGGCTGCTCAGGTGCTTGTGCAGTTGGGTTTTGAGTATCTCCAAGGATGGAGACTCCACAGCCTCTCTGGCAGCCTGTTCCAGGATTCAATCTTCCTTACAGCAAAATAAGTTTTTCTTATGTTTAAATGGAAATTCCTGTGTTTCAGTTTTTGCCAATTGCCTCTTGTCCTTTCACTGGGCACTATTTAGAAGTATCAGGTTCTGTCTTTGTTACTGCCTTCATCAAGTATTTATGCACATTGATAAGATGCATCACGAGCTTTTTCCCAGCTAAACAATCCTGGCTGTCTTAGTTTCTCTTCTAGTATCAAATGTTCCAGTCCCATAATGATCTTCATGGAGCTTCACTGGCTTTGCTTCAGTGTCTCTCTTTAGCTGGGAAGTCCAGTGCTGGACACAGTACTCCAGGTGTATCTCACCAGAGCTCAGAAATTGCTGGCAATCCTCTGCCTAATGCAGGAGACTTTTGGTCATCTTTGCTGCAAGGGCACATTGCTCATCAGGACCTCCAGGTCCTTTTCTGCCAAGCTGGTCAACCCCCAGCCTGTACCGGTGCATGGGATTATTCCTTCCCAGGTGCAGGATTTTGTTGGAACTTTGGTGGGTTCCTGTCAGCCCACTTCTCCAGCCTGTGGAGGTCTCACTGAATGGAAGCACGACCATCTGGTGTATGAACATTCCTCTCAGTTTTGTATCATTTGCTGACTTGCTGAGGTTGCACTCTGTAGCATCATCCAGGTCAGTAACGAAGGTGTTAAACAGGACTGGCCTCAGTACTGACCCTAGGGAGGGCACTGCTAGTGATGGGCCTCCAGCTGGACTTCCTGCCACTGGTCACAACCCTTTGATCCATGCAGTTCAGCCAACTGACTGAGTCAACTTTGATCCAGGCAGTTCAGTCTACCCCACTGTCCATTAATCTAACTCGGACTTCCTCTGTGTATGAGGAAGACAGAGGAGACATGAAAAAAAATAGAATCAAGGTAAACAATATTGACTGCCCTCCTATCATCGACCAAGCTAGTCATCTTATCACAGAAGGCTAACAGGTTAATCAGGCATGATTTTCCCCTTTGTTGACTATTGTCAGTCACTTCCTTGTCGCTGTTATGTTTGGAAGTGGTTTGCAGAATTATTTGCTCATTACCTTCCCAGGGATTGAGGTGTGGCTGACTGACCTATAGTTCCTTGATCCTCTTCCTCCTTGCCCTTTTTGAAGACATGAACAATATTTGCTTTCTTCCTATTATAAGGAACATCTCGTGATCACCGTAAACTTTTACATATTATCGAGTGGCCTCACAAATGACATTGGCCAACTTCCCTTAGCATTCATGAGCGCATCCCATCAGGGTCCAGCGACTTGGGTCTATGCAGTGTGTTTAAATGTTCCTTAATCCGATCCTCCTCCACTGAAGTTAAGTCTTCCTTGCTCCAGACTTTCCCAGTGGTCTCAGGGACCTATGATTTCGCAAATATTACCAGTAAAGATAGAGGGAAAGAAGGCATTGAGTACCCAGGCCTTTTCCATGCCCCTTGTCACCTGATGCTCTGCCCCATTCAGCAGTGGACCGGCATTTTGACTTGTTTTCTTTTTGCTCCTGATGTGCATCTAGAAGCCCTCCTTGTTGTCCTTCATGTCCCTCACCAGAGTCAGCACCAGCTAGGCTTTGCCTTTCCTAACTCTATCTCTGCATACTTGGACAGTGTCCCCACATTCCTTCTGGGTGACCTGACTCTGTTTCCACCTTATGTACGCTTCCTGTTTATGTTTTGGTTTCCTTAGGAGATCTTTGTTCATCATGCAGGCCTCCTGCCACCTTTGCTTGGTTTTGTCGTCTAGCACCTGTTTTTGTAATGTGCTGGCATTTTGCACATAAAAGGCCAGAAGGGACAATTCAGATTTGTCTAGTTTTGAACTGTGTAGGAAAGTTTCATCTTGTAGCTCTTCCAGTAAGTCACAACTTAGCTAGAGCATGGTGTCTGGGGAAGAATAATTTCCGTGTAAAATTTTCTTATACTTGAACAAAAAGTATAACCAGACTCCATCCTTGAGTTAGTTGTTGGGATTCTTGGTGATTCTCATTTTTTTTGCAGAGAACAACCCTGACTGTAAGCCCAGTTAAGCCTGACTGTTAATCCCCCACTCTTTCGCAGAAATAATGTTTATATTCATCTCTCTCTTATCTCTTGGATCTTATACTTCTACAGCTAACAGCTATAGCAAAACAACATATCTTTGAATTTTACTGACTCTCACAAAGATGATTCTAGATGTGTTAGCTGGCCTATACTTTGCATGTTTTTCTTCCTCATCTCTCTGCTAGATAATGTTTATTATTGCTACTGCTTTTTTCCTCTATTGGGCTTTTAAAAAACAGAGTGTGATTATTAAAGTTTGTATCTTACAACACAAAAAGAAGATACTCCTTAAGCTCCCTGTCCATCTATAAACTATATTAATGTGACATGAAAACACTTCTCAATCTAGATTGGTACTGCAGTTCTTAAATTACAGTGTTTGCTTTTTGGGTGTACAAAACCATTGATCATAAAAAGGCTATTACTTCTTTATTATTTTTCTCTTTTGGTGACACAATTCCAAGAGAAGAAAAACTTTGACCTAGCTCTGCAGGCTTCAGCCAGGCTCTCCTGCAGCGATGGCTGTTTAATTCCCTGTGCTGCTCTGGGATGCACGTTGTAACGAGGCCATGGGACGGCACTGTCTGGAATTGAATGTTGTTCCTTGGCTGCTGCTTGCACTGTACAATTTTGGTTTTACAGTTCTGTGCCTGCAACATACAACATATGGGCAGACTTTCCTCTGCGGTATGGAGACAAGTGGAGTCAGTGTGCTGGAAGGTGTGTTGCATAGGGATGTGCTTGTGCCGTGGAAATACAGAACTAGTTTTGATACATGAAGGTCTGGCACATCCATCAGGATGCTGATTCTTCCAGATCTATATTTGCATTGCCAAACACTGTTAAAAATAAATAATATCACAGGACAGCTTGCTGTTCCTGGACAAGAACATCAGGAACAGTGTACCCAAGATTCCTTTGTCTCTCAGTACTTAACAGCTACGGAAGGGCAAGTAAATTATTTTACTCCCATCACAAAACTGAGTAAATATACTCTGTTGTTGATTCCTGCATTATTGATTTCTTTTTGACCCTACCATGGATTTTGTGTTATTCATTCAGTAGATTTTCACTCACACAGCCTTTTACGTATGCTGAGTAATTATCCCTTTTATTCTACGGTTGTGTCTGTAATTCCCATTTTACAAATGCAGAAACTAAAGTCAGGTTTAGCAAAATTGGCTTTATTTAAACTAGAGTAAATTCACCTCTGATCTGGGCTTTGAACGTGGAGTTATGATTTCAGTTTTGTAGTTAGTTCCCTAATTACAAAGCCATGTTCTAATAAGTGTTTTCTCAAGGAGGATAGAAGCGGAGTGGTCTGTTTAATTACAGGTAACTGTCTGGGAAACAGTTTTCCAACAGAGGCATGCTAGTCACCAGAGATAAAAAACTTCATTTTGGCTAATTTTATAGGCATGCAATACGTGAACTATAAAAATTAGCTTGAGTTGAATGTAGTGGAAAGGATGAATAATAAATTTAATTCTAGTGAAATGGCCTAGAACCATATTTTGGTTCTAGTGGCCTAGATTATGTCACAGAGGTC